CCGGCGGCGAGGCGAGCGCGGGTCTAAGGTTGTTCCGCAGTCCGGCCCCTGCTGTGCCGACCCACGCGCCCAGGCCCGTAAGCGGGAAAGGACAAGACCCAGGTCCTGCACCACGGCCTCAGCCCGGACATTACCCAGGCACAGGCGCAGAAATTGTATTTCCTTCTATAAAGCACGAGGGAAGGAAGATTTTCTCATCTTTTCAGTAGAGACCCGTTACAAATAGCACATCATTTTGAGCAACGTGCTCTGTTACAGCATTACCAAAAAGCCAAGAGCTCCGATCCACACCGCAAATCACTTCTATATTGACCTCACTGGCACAAATGAAAGATAAATATAGGAATAGCCAGGCATTTTCTGAGCAACCACAAACTCCTTGGCTACGTCTGTATTTGAGTGTAATCCTAAGAGCAACTTAAAAAACAACTCAAACCCTCATGCGGGCCTTCTCCTGTTGTGTATTAAAATCAGCCGCAAAACTTAAGAAGCATTTTCTGAACAGATGCAAGGGCTGGGAAGAAGCTGCAGAGCCAACAGACTGGCAGCTCCCCACAGGTAACAGCAGAGCTGCCACACACTTTGTTAGCACCACTGAGCAGTTCTTTCTGCAGCAAGAATGAGCTGCAAGGTGCTTGTCAAGCAGAGCAAAAACTTTGGCAACAGTCCAAGCCACAGCTGCTGTGCTTACATGCCCATCCCCTCAGTCCGTCAGCAAGACATTCCAGAAATAACGGGTGTATGGTTCTCCACGACTGGCTCCTTATGACCTTAGTCCATGCCACAGGGGCACTTGAGCAGTTTGTTAAAAAGCTTAGAAAAAAGAAAGGGAAGAAGCCCTGAAGTGCCACCCTTGAACTCAGCTGATAAATACACACCTTCAATCCTGGAGGCGACATGATCATTCCTTTCCCCCGCCTTGCTACTCATCATGACACATGTGCCAAGTGACATGACTCTAGTAATGATTTCAGCTGAGCATGCTGAGATTGAACTACGATGCTGAAGAGTCTGAGCACTTCAGGCCAGAGCACACCTTACAACCTTTCCCTCCCACAGCAATCTAACATCCTGTACATTAGCTCAGTCAGTCATATTTTGGTCAGTTAACTGAAATAACAGACAGATGCTCGAGTGAAGAATTCAATGTATATTTATTATTCACAGTTAATTACTACCTACCAAATGCTGCTGCAGAGTTAAAGGATTAAGTACATAGGCCTTTTTTATTTAAACACTGATTTTTTTTTTTAATATATATACACACACAAGACATATGTCTGCAAGGCTGCATGATATACACCAATTCCAAAATAAGGAAACAATCAAATGGTCCAGGTGTAGAATGCCATAGATTCCTTTTCCAATCACTTTACAAAGAAGGAAGAAAGTGAGTGACAGCTAGCAAGGAGAGGGGGAGAAAGTAATACTCTACAGGATAGCTCTCTCTTTCGTCTGCTGGAAAATTAAAGTGTAAGGCAGAGTCCATCTCAGGAATAAAACATTTGTAACACTTAGTACAAAAAAAGGCACCCTCCAACAAAAGATTGCCCATGCTTAGGCAGGGCAGTAGGAGATCTCCGCTGCAGTTTTTTGGATTCGTTGGTGGGGTGAAGGGATCCAGCCAAACGGCTGTCAAAAGGAAAAATAACACAACTTAAGATTGGCACAGAGAGCAGTGCAGCTTGATTGCTTTCCTTTCTGTCCAATTTAATGTCACACTGCTCTGGTGGAGGAGAAAATGGCCACAGTAAATGCCATTACGGTGCGGGGTGGGAATTACAGTCATCACACAGCCTGCTGTGAATGGGGAGCGGGGTGGGGGGAATCTACTTCAACAATAACACTGACCTGAGGAGGGAGGAGAAACTGGAGAACAGTGATGCCGACCCCACTTTTCAAGAGCAACACGACTGCAAATATTCCCTATCCAGGCCAAAGAGACAGGCTGATTACATGCATCACGTAGAAACATTCACTAAGAGCATAAAGTTTTTTCAAGCACTATTTCTTGAGGTTTCTCTGCATTATAAAGTTTTCCATCAAAGGAATGTACATTTTATAGGACATCTCAGGGCTATTATTTCTCAAATTCCCCCCTTAACCCTCCCTCCCCAAAATATTCTTCCTCATTTTCCCTGGTCGTAACTTCCCCCTTTCTTACTTCTTTTGAGGCTCTTGGTTGCAGCTCCCCACCTCTGAGCAGCCTAAGCTGCTGCTTGAATGCCTTGATTTTATTTTCCTTGGAATAAGGGAAGTTGAACAGTAAGACAAATCTTAAGATTAAAGCTCCATCTCTGTTTGTAGATTTTTCTCAAGTGTCCATTGATAAAACCACCCTCCTTTACACCCTTCCCCCAAAAGTATTTATTTACACATAGGCAGAAAAAAACCCTCTGAAAAGCTCTGGACTGTCCTTTTAACTTAAAAAATAATAAAAAAGAAAATAAGGGAAAGGCACTATGGAAAAAATTACAGAATGTGCTCAACCGTACACCTTTAAGAAAAAACAAAAAAGCTGTCACCACAGCATTAACATACTTCAGTTGTACGTTGGAGTTTCTCAAAGCAGCTCTGTGACTCAAAAGAAAAAAGAACAAAAAAAAAGAACAAAAAGCCACACAACTCTTCTCCCTTCCCCTGCTTGGAAGCTGCTGAGCTTCAGAAGAAAGTGCCAAAGGAGAAGAAACAATAAAAATTAGATTAACACCTCATCTTTCCCAGGCAAGAAGAGCTGAATGTTGAAGGCAAAAGCAGAGACTGATGATTTTTGTTTTTTTTTTAAAGGCAGGACTGTGGATTTGGTTCTTCTCTCATGTCCCTTCATGTCAAATGAAGACCGTTTGCAGAGAGAGAAAATACCAGCAGAGTTTCTCCCTTTTCCTTTAACTGCATGGCTAGGACTTTATATGGCATTAAAACTTCATGCACTGATGGACAGAGGAGGAGGGGGAAACAAGAAGAGTGAATAAAAGGGGGTAACCCAGGAGCAGCTGAGGAAATTTGTTATTTTCATTTTTTTCTCTCTCTCTCTTTTTTTTATTTTTAAAGGTAAGTTTTGGTGTGTAAGTTGACCCCTCCCCGCCCCTGAAGTTCCGTACTGAGTGAAGGAGGATCACCTCACGGTGAAAGGTGACTCAGGTTTTATCGCCGTGTGATTTTAGGTCACTGGCTGCAGTTAGGCTCTGTATGTGTATTTACTGTTTCTCTGTTTTCTTTAAATAATCTCTAATATTTATCTCTAGATGTTCCGATTCACTGGGGTCACATAGTTGCGTGGAAACATGCCCGTCTGTCCGTGGCAGGCTCCCTTCCACCAGTTGGGGTCAGAATTGTCAAGGACTTGGATAAAGTCTCCACGACGGAAGCCCAGCTCTCCTTCCTCTTGGGGATCAAAATCAAACAGGGCCTGAACATATGTTGGTTGCTGAAAGGGGAAAGAAAAAGATACACAAAGTGAGAATCATCCACAGCACTTAAGAAACCTGCTCCCTCAGGCGGGAGCTTAACTTACACTGGAGTTTATTGTTAAACATTCAGGTTGTTTCATCTCCCTGCAAGCCAGCTTCCAACATCTGTAACAAGATGCTAAAACAGGAAAGCACAGTCTACAGAAGACCTTAGAAAAAATTCAAGAGCCAAAATAAAGACAGCAGATAACTCAGATGCTTTCCTAGTATTTTCCAGTCTTCATGACTTACTATAAATCTATTGCAATACAAAAGCCTTTCTGCTTATTCATCCTCCTTTCACCGACAGTGCAAATATCACTAATCTGTCTAACACCATGATACGCAAAGTTCCCCATAAAAACTGGATGCTGGCATTAAACACATTTTCCTTAAAATTCCCCAATATCAAGAAATTCTGTCACAGAGCATTTTGCCTGGTCAGCAAATACTTCCACTCTTATGGAAAAGCTAATGGTTCACATGAAATGTGTTTGTATTCTTAAAATCACGAGGCCAGGAAGGTATCCTCCTGCTTATTATTTTCAGCCACCTGTTTTCTCATGCTCTGTTTATCCCTGACCTAACAGTGCAGAGACAGATTTATTTCAGACAAACTGTGGCAAAAGGTGCTGGTGGCGCCTGGAGAGCAGTACCAATTCCACACCTCCTGTCTTGAAGCTAGAACTATAATGCTGCACATGGAAGCAACATGATTTATTCAGAATTGACGAAGGATCCAGTTACATGCAACATAACATACTGATTGGCCTGGGAAATGGAACAAAACAGAGCCAGATATACACAAGCTGCTCTGCTGGCACTCAGCAGTACTTTTTGGTTTCTCTTAACCCTGGCTAGATCCAAACCAGAAGGCTAGAGATGTTCTATGTGCTACACCTGTAACCACCTCTTCAGGAAAGACCAGCACCAAAGCTTCACTGGCTACTGAGGGGTACAGTTCTGGCTATGAACTGTATAAATAGAACTAACCTTTCTTACTGTGTCCTAAATCAGGAGTAAACCCATTTTTAATTCACAGCAATCAGGTGACCTTTCTTCAACAGTATCCATAAACGTTAAGACAAGCTCTAAATAGTGCACTTCATGAGGACACTCCTCTTACCTGTGGCACCTGTTCAATATCCCGGAGAAATATTTGCTGGTTCCTGGAGACAGATGTGGATCTGTGATAATCTACCAGCTCGTTCAAAGAATTGAACTTCACCACCCAGAGGAAATATTTGCCAGCCCCATCTCTAAGCACCTTGAAGTGCTGCACATCATTTCCAAACCTGTGTGGAAAGAATGAAGTATACAAAAAAAATGCACATTATTAGTTGTTGAGTACTCCTCTTTTGAGATCGTCATCACAAAGTTTCAAACAAAAAGGTCTTTCAGGACACCGTGATAACTGTCAATATAGATACCAATTGGTTGCTATAAAAGAGAGGTCTGAAACCTCCTTGTCAAATGCATTTTACAGAAATCAGTG